TTTGTTGAGCTTTCATATACTTATAGATCTAGTGCATCCATTGCATGGCAATCCCTACTCACTCACATCGATATCTATTGGTGGGTATCTCCATAGCCCGTTGATATGCCTAGTTGGTGTGAGACTATCTTCTCCTTTTTGTCTTCTCCACAACCACCATTCTATTCCACATAGAGTGCTATATCCATGGCTCACGCTCATGTATTGCGTGAATATTGAAAAAGTTTGAGAACATCAAAAGTATGAAACAATTGCTTGGCTTGTCATTGGGGTTGTGCATGATTTAAATATTTTGTGTGGTGAAGATGGAGCATAGCCAGACTATATGATTTTGTAGGGATAACTTTCTTTGGCCATGTTATTTTGAGAAGACATAATTGCTTAGTTAGTATGCTTGAAGTATTACTATTTTTATGTCAATATTAAACTTTTATCTTGAATCTTTCGGATCTGAACATTCATGCCACAATAAAGAAAAATTATATTGAGAAATATGTTAGAAAGCATTCCACATCAAAAATACTTTTTTTATCATTTACCTACTCGAGGACGAGCAGGAATTGAGCTTGGGGATGCTTGATATGTCTCCAACGTATCTATAATTTTTTATTGCTCCATGCTATTATATTATCTGTTTTTGGATGTTAATGGGCTTTATTTTACACTTTTATATCATTTTTGGGACTAACCTATTAACGAAAGGCCCAGCCCAAATTGCTGTTTTTTTGCCTATTTCAGTGTTTCGCAGAAAAGGAATATCAAACGGAGTCCAAACGGAATGAAACCTTTGGGAACGTGATTTTCTCAACGAACATGATCCAGGAGACTTGGAGTGGGCGTCAAGAAACAATCGAGGAGGCCACGAGGCAGGGGGCGCGCCTACCCCCCTGGGCGCGTCCTCCACCCTCGTGGGCCCCTTGTTGCTCCACCGACCTACTTCTTCCTCCTATATATATCCACGTACCCCCAAAACATCCAGGAGCACCACAAAAACCTAATTCCACCGCCGCAACCTTTTGTACCCGAGAGATCCCATCTTGGGGCCTTTTTCGAAGCTCCGCTGGAGGGGGCATTGATCACGGAGGGCCTCTACATCAACTCCATGGCCTCTCCAGTGATGTGTGAGTAGTTTACTTCAGACCTTCGGTTCCATAGTTATTAGCTAGATGGCTTCTTCTCTCTCTTTGGATCTCAATACAAAGTTGTCCTCGATTCTCTTGGAGATCTATTCGATGTAATCTTCTTTTGCTATGTGTTTGTCGAGATCCGATGAATTATGGGTTTATGATCCAGTTTATCTATGAACAATATTTGATTCTCCTCTGAATTCTTTTATGTATGATTGGTTTAGCTTTGCAAGTCTCTTCGAATTATCAGTTTGGCTTGGCCTACTAGATTGATCTTTCTTGCAATGGCAGAAGTGCTTAGCTTTGGGTTCAATCTTGCGGTACTCGATCCCAGTGACAGAAAGGGAAATGACACGTATTGTATTGTTGCCATCGAGGATAAAAAGATGGGGTTTATATCATATTGCATGAGTTTATCCCTGTACATCATGTCATCTTACTTAAAGCATTACTCTGTTCTTATGAACTTAATACTCTAGATGCATGCTGGATAGCGATCGATGTGTGGAGTAATAGTAGTTGATGCAGAGTCGTTTCGGTCTACTTGTCGTGGATGTGATGCCTATATACATGATCATACCTGGATATTCTCATAACTATGCTCAATTCTGTCAATTGCCCGACAGTAATTCGTTTACCCACCGTAATACTTATGCTCTTGAGAGAAGCCACTAGTGAAACCTATGGCCCCCGGGTCTATCTTCCATCATATTAATCTTCCAACACTTAGCTATTTCTATTGCCGTTTATTTTACTTTGCATCTTTATTTCTCTTTATCATAAAAATACCAAAAATATTATCGTATCATATCTATCATATCTCACTCTCGTAAGTGACCGTGAAGGGATTGACAACCCCTTTATCGCGTTGGTTGCGAGGTTCTTATTTTTTGTGTAGGTGCGTGGGACTCGAGCGTGATCTCCTACTGGATTGATACCTTGGTTTTCAAAAACTGAGGGAAATACTTACGCTACTTTACTGTGTCACCCTTTCCTCTTCAAGGGAAAACCAACGCAGTGCTCAAGAGGTAGCACTCCCCCATACTCCACTATGGGTGAGCCACTCTTCCGCACATCTTCACAAGTCCATTGTCACCACAATGGACGACAAGCTTCAAGCACTTGATCTCTTCGTGATGCATCACTTGAACTTGCACACGGCAACCTAACCCCACAAAGAACTCTCACGAAGACCATGGGTTAGTACACAAAGCGTAATTGACAATGCTTACCATACCATGGGATCACTTGATCCCCCTCGATACATCTTCTGCGCTTTGTGAGTTGATCAACTTGATTCACTCTTGACTTAGTCTTGATCAACCTTGAACCTTTCCAATTCTCTTCATTTGGATGATGCCTTGAAGGTAGGCATGAATGATCACACAATCTTCTTCTTCAAGACATACTTGCAATAAGCCCAACACTCACATGAGCAATCTTTGGATAATTCCTTGAATAGCACCTTGGTCGACACAAACTCTCCTTGAAACCACACATGTACTCCAAGAAAATCCTATGGACAAAACCTTCAAATATAACTCAAGGCAACCATTAGTCCATAAAGATTGTCATCAATTACCAAGACCAAACATGAGGGCACCGCATGTTCTTTCAAAGTTCCTGTGGCATCTAGCACTTGTGGTAATGTGGAAGAGTTTACTGTTTACATCCCCCTTATTAATCCAAGTCATCCCAAAACACTGCCTATGAGAGACTTCTGGATAGTGTAGAGGCCTGGGAGCTTGGTTTTGAGGTTGGCGCAAATGGTGTGCTCAAGACGGAGATGCCACTATTTTACTAAGTAGTGTTGAGTCGGCAAATGATCTCTTTGCAATTTTTATTTGAAGCTTCATGGTACCCAAGTTTTCATATTGTCATTTCTTCAGAGCTTTGGTGGTGCGGCATAGCTTGGTATGAAGTCTACGGAGAGGGCGATGGTTGGAAGTGGTTTTGTCCCAAGCTGCCTGAACGATCTCCCTGTATCTCTGAACCTTAATCCAAAATTCCTTAAATTTGAAAAGGACACATGTGATGTAGAATAGTCCCCCTAAAGGAACAAAGGGATGTGGTCAGAGCATAAGGAAGGAAGATCTTGCATATGGACCACATGGAAGAGCATCTCCCAATCATTTGAGCAGAAAACATGATCAATGTTTGCGTCGGTTGGGTTTTGTTGCTTGTTTGACCATGTGAACCTACGACCATTGAGGCACATCTCCTTAAGCACCGGCCACCCTTGTGGCTAGGTCGAGGGAGGGGGGATGGGGGACGAGAAAGAGAAGCGAGAAGGGGCGGCAGCCAAGATGTCGGACAAGTTCGAGGATGTCATGGCGAAGAAGGAGGAGGAATATGTCAAGCACAATGAGATGAAGGAGGAAAAGAAGGCAGAGAGGTTTCACGTGTTCATGGAGATGCAAAACAAAAAGTTTAAGTTAGAGAAGAGGAAGATTGCTATCAAGGCCGCTTCCGAGGAGCAAAAGTCGTGAAGGCGACGAAACTTGGATCCCAATGTTGAGAAGTTTGTTCAAGACTTTCGTACTACCATGTACAAATGCTTTGCGCAAAAGGAAGGTGAAAAGAATGCCGAAAATTAAGGTCTTTGGCACGGACAGCCGGACTGAAGGCTTTTGGGATTGATATATGTAAAAACTTTGTTCAACATCTGGTGGTTTTGGTACTACTTGCATTTGTTTGCAACTATTTAAATGTACGTTAGCTTGAATTGTTATTGATATAGACAAAATTTATCAAAGGGAGGATTCCGGACAAGGGCAGACATTGATGACTTTGCTTGGCTGGCCTCCACATAGTCGCACCCATTTGGTGGTGTCCGTTTGGTAATTGGCATTGGAAATGCCCTTAGAAAAACTCTAGCAGAGGAGCCATAGCAACCGTCACTCTGACGATTGTGTGCCAAAATGACACTTTAGCATAATTGCCATAACTTATGTAGGGCGCTTCATATCGAGCCCATGAGCCTCCATATTTGGAGGTTGTGGGTTTTGGCCTCGAGCACACCCCATCCACCAGCCACTCTTGCGGGAGAAAAGTTTCACCTCCCTCATCAACCTACTGCGCTAGCCCGTGGCAATTTTATCGTCACTTTTTCCTGTCGCCCACCGCTATAAAAAGACCCACATCCTTGCCGCCAATAGCCTTCACTATCACGGTGGGTGAACTCGGTGATGTTCTCGGGGAAGCAGTGAGATCCTCGAGAAGCGCTGGTAAAAACTGTTTGCATGGATGTTCATTTTTTTTCCTTGCACCTTCGTATGTGCATTGGTGTGGTGGGTATCCCCTCTATTATTATCCGTATTTATTTATATTCGTCTTTGCATGTACATTTCTTGAAGTTTTACAGAGAAAAAGGCCCGAACACAGCAAAAAAATATCCAGTGCATATGCACGGCAAAGATCCCCGTATATTTTGCCTTGAGCCACCTACGGTGCATAACGATCTCCGAGAGGGGCATCCATCCGTCTTATCGACGCCGACGTGTTCGCGGACGCTTTCCATGCCATCCCGACGCCTCCACTCCACCCACGGCCAGCCTGGTCGGCGGCGGCGCACGGCACGCGTCGCCGCGCGGTTTGCCCGCGCCCCCACCTTCACCCCCTCGTGAAGGTATCCGCGCCGGCCGGCATCCCCCCGCGCCAAGTAAAGCAAAGCAAGGCTCAGTGCGCAAGCGTCCCTCTCCCGGTCTCCCTCCCTCTCCATGATTCCTTCCCCCCGTCTATATAACCCTCCGCTCCTCGCCTCACGTACGCCGTCAAACACCGACGACGGAGACGAAACGAGACGAGGAAACAGCCACGCGCGCGCGCGCCCAAGCCGCGGGTTTCTGCAGAGTTCATGTGACGCGATCGAGCATGGCGAGCGGCGGCGCGGGGGGCTACTACCACGGCGACCGGTACGGCTACGGCTACTCGTACCCGCGGCAGCAGCTCGCGCCGTCTCCATCGCCGGCGGCGTCGTTCCACATGTGCCTGTTCCTGGCCACGGCGTGCCTCCTCGGCGCCGCGTCGCTCTACTCGCACTGCGAGTCCGCGATGGAGAGCCTCGTCGACCAGCTCCGGGTCGCCGTCGTCCTGTCCCCGTTCGTCCTCCTCCTCGCGGCGCAGTACTGGTCCGCGACCGGGCGGCGCTGGCGGTCGTCGTACTCGTACTCGTCGCCGTCGTCGTCGTCGCTGCTGGCGGCCCCGGCGCCGGTGGTGTCGTGGGAGCAGCAGCCGCCCTGGTACGACCAGCGGCAGCGGGACGGCGGCGCGTCGTCGCCGTGGGGCGTGGCGCTGGCGCTGGCGCTCGTCCTGCTGCTCATCTCCTACCAGTCGTGCTTCCAGTACTGGTGGTCCCCGGTCGTCCGCCGCCGGCGCTGAGCTCCGTCGATCGGATCGGATCGGATCGTTCGCGCGCGCGCAGCTAGAACTAGGCACAGCATTTGGTCACGTATTATATTTCTTCAGAGGGAGTATACTAGGCAAGAAAATTATCGGCAATTGGCAGAGCAGGATTTTGCTGTCTAAACCGTCAGATGTCTTAGCCGTCAGAAAACTATCACCAGTATTGGGAGGATGTAAACTGCAGTAAACTGTTGTGATATAGTACTATAAATAATAATAATAATAAAGAGCAGAATTCTTGCATTTCGCAGTTATCAAATTATTTCGGTCTTTTAGCTGACAAATTGCTCTCCAACCTAGGAAATGCTACTCGAACTGTAATGTATCATGTATGCATATTAATTTGGTTCTCTATGAGGCATGCCCCATCTGCTTATGTCCAGAGTGGAAATTCAGAATTTCAGACATGGATGTCGCAAGAGAAAGTGCAGTTCAGGCCAACAAAAACTGGAGCGAAATCACTCCTTCTCTGAACATACACTGAGTCTTTTAAAACCACGAACCCTTGCAAAGAATATAAGAACCAAACCGGTTAACCAAAGTACTACTTTGAGTACTTTTAAACGACGAATCTTTGAATGCATTTTCTCTCCCGAAAAGGAAGCAAAGTACAATATGTTAATAGCAAACACCGATCGCTTTAGGTTTGATTTTGCTGCCAGTTAACTAATCGAAATTGATCCGTGAAGAAGGTGGAAACGCTGCACGAAAGAAAGCAAGCAAGAAAGAAAGAGAAATGCAATGCAGGACAGGGTAGGAATCGCATTCCTGGCTTTTGGCCATGATAGTATACAGATAGAACCCGGCGATCGTCTTTCTTCTCTTTCGGCCGGTGATGGACGAGTAAAAGCACCTTTCTGCGCTACTAGATGACCGTGTGGGGGCGAGTACCTAAAACCAAAAGCAACCGCCCCCAAGTATTCCAGATTCTTGTCACCCTCTGTATGTGACATTTCTTGGCTCCCCTTCCCTTCCTAGCGACCGGAATCGATTTCATGGAGGAGTTCCTCTTTCTTTCAGTGGCACCTTCGGATTTTTATTAAATGTGCTCCAGATTTTTCTGCATTCCATTATTAGGCACAAAGCATAAACAAGGGACAAAAGAGTCTCTGATAACAAAAGCAGCAGCCAAGATTACAAAGATGATTATAAATCTTAAAAAAAGCAAGACTACGTGATGACCAGACAATATTACAATAACACGTGCATTTTCAAGCAGCCAATAGATCCTGGCATTCTTTCAAAATCCGAACCCCATCACAGCTATAAAACAAAATTAAAGGGTGCCATGTTTTGAGATCTCAGGGCAAGGAGGAGACCTTACAAACAGAAACAACGCAAAGGTGCACATAGAAGCAGAAGCATGTTCGGACTCATCAGAAGAAGAAATCTGGAGTGCAGGAACTCATCAGAAGAGAAAATGACAGATACAGCTTCAATCTCCGAAGTGAAGGCTAAAGGATAAACCCAACAATGATTGGTGTGTCTGCTATCCTTTCCTTTTGGCTAGGGCTAGAAAAAAAGCTCGAAGCTCATGAGCTAAACGAGTAGCTCGTGACTCGGCTCGAATCGACTCGAACTCGAAGAATAACGAGTCGAGCCAAGCTTTAGTTTAAGATCGTTTATAGACCAAGTTAAATGAGCCAATCTCACGAGTACTCGTGTAACTCGTTAGGCTCGGTACAAAAGATCAGTCACTCCCAATACAAAAAAAGATCAGCCACTCAGCACCCTATGTCCTAGACGCACAACACAAGGCCTAGCTGTTGAAGGCCCAACCGCCTAGGAGACTCATGCATTACAAGGAAATTATTATTGTTAGTGATATATATATGTTTAATATATACACAATTATTTTTATAATATTTGAGAGTTTTATGTTCATATTTTTAACGAGCTTAACAAGCTAAACGAGCCAGCTCGTGAGTTATACGAGTCAAGCCAATCTTGGATTTGAGCTTGTTATAATAATGAGTTGAGTCAAGCTAGCTCGTTAATGAAACGAGCTCTAGCGAGTCGAGCCGAGCTTGCTCGACTCGGCTCGAATTCCAGCCCTACTTTTGGCGATCATTCCTTTTAGGCTGTCATGGCTTTCAGCCTCCGCAGAGTAATGAACTGATTTGGCAGCTCTCTGCGCGCCTTCCTGAGAGATCCGGCGGCAGCTTATAACGGTCAGCCACTCCAGCTTCTGTGCACGTGCCAAGGCAGCCATTCCATCATCTGTCACTCTCTTACATTTGCGGAGCGTGAGACTGCTCAAGCGAGGAGCCTGTATAATCAAGTTCATACCAGCATCAGTTATAGACCTGCAATCCACGAGCTCGAGCTTCTCCAGAAACTGTGAGGATGAGAGGCCCTTCATCCCCTCGTCATAAAAAATGCTGGCACCATTTAGAACAAGAGCACGAATCGGACATGATTGGATGAGCGTTACAATACCCTCTTGTGTGAAGCCTATTTCAGTAGGATAAATGGGATCGCAAAATGTGAAGGTGAGCTCAATAACCTGAAGCATAGGGCAGCTAAGAGCTAGAGCCTTAAGGCTAGCATCAGTCAATGGCGTCCTAAACTCACCATCTTCACATCGCAGAGGCATGAGACGAAGTGAGATGGTTTTAAGGTTGCTGCACCTCTGGAATAGTGCAATCATCTCATTCTCATTTAGACCAATAACATACTCCAGGTAAAGTGTCTCCAATGCTTTGCACTTCCCCAAGAGAAAACGAAGTCCAATTTCTGGCTCAGTTATTATATGAGCCAGCCTAAGATCCTTCAGATTATCACAGCAGATGTCATAGCTATATGGGTAGCCAGACACGTAGGAGGGATCACGGGCCCCTGGCACCCAGTAATTTCCATTAATCTCGAACTCAAACTTTTGGAGATTCAACCATCCTGGGCCAAACTTTAAGAGGTCATACTGGCTGATACCATCGCAATCCTTTACAACAAGTTCCCCCAGTGATCCATACCTCCTAAGGTACTCCAGCCACTCCCCGCTGTCTACTGCTGTACAGTCAACAAGGTGGAGAACCGAAAGATACCTGCAACCAACCGCCACCCGAAGAATCCCAGTAGAAGTGACTGCTGGTGCATGGTTCAGCCTGAGGGACCTCAATTTTTTGCACTCAGCTAGATAACCTAGACCAGTGTCATCGATGTTTGAGCAGAAGCTTAAAGCAAGATCGGACAGCAAGGAGCAGTGAGATGATAAAACAAGTAGGCCTTGGTTGTTCAACTGGTCCACGTTACTGGACTTCGACCCAGAGTAATTGATCTCTACTTTTGCCAAATTGGGGAACCGGGAAAACAGCGATACCAAGGCTTCTGTTGAAGGATTGAGTCCACAGCCAACACGGATAGCAACCCTGTGCTCCGCCTCGATGGTGGAGAGCTGCTTCGACACGAGGGAAAGAGAATTAAGATCACTTGTCTTGGTAATCCTCTTGACGATCTCTCCAAGCAGTGGCTCTGGGAGACCCTCCATCGAGTATCTCAGCTGCACAACTTGGGCAGTCTCAAGACCCGGCTTGGCGCTGAAACAAAGATTCTATTATCAGAATGGAACATAACAAGATAACCAATTAACGGCTGTAAGAACAAATGTAAAAGGGAACATCAGTGAAATATCAAACTTTTCTTGTACTAGTTTGAAAGATTCATGTGCATATCAAACAAGATAACCAATTAACAGCTGTACTAGTTTGAAAGATTCATGTGCTTATCTACACAGTGAACAGTAACCAACTGGCTGCAGGCTAAGATTTATAAGGAACAGGAAAACGCTGCAAGGAAAAATTAACCAAACGACCTAATCATATGAAATCGCTGCTCGGTGGGGGATTTTCTAACAGTACACCAATTAGAACAACTAGTCCACGAGATCATCGGACATCCACCTCCTGAATTTAACACACGTATCTGGAAGGACCCAACCAATCAGATTTAGAGAGCGATTTCCAGACACTCCAGAACGGGTTTTACCACAAATAAATAAATAAATAAATAAACCGGGCTATTTCCTCTAGAGTTTCACAGATATTCCAGACCCAAACGCGGTGGGCTAACTGCATCAGCAGAGCCAAGTACACGGTGGAAGAACGGAGAGCACGCAGTCATCGCGGAACGGGATCAACAGAGCTCGGGTGGAAGAATCGACGTCGCCTCGGCTGGCTCAACCAATGCTGCTCGAGAAGGGAAGGGGATGGATCCAAATGCGTACCTCGGAGGAGCCGACGAACCGGGAAGGGGGGCGCCGGCCGGGAGGGGGGAGCTGGGCGGAAACGGCGGCGACCGGGGTTTGGAATGGGTGGGGAAACCTCCGCGGCGAGGTCAGACGGCGAAACCCTCGCCTTCTTCAGCGGCGTGAGTCGCTTTTGAGCGCCGGCCTCACAGCACCAACAAAGTTTTTTTTTTCGAGACAAAGCACCAACAAAGGTGACTTGGGCTTGGCCCGACTTGGTGATAATGTCACGTGATGTTGTTTCTTTTTTTTTTGGACAAAGAAATGGCGCCTTAGGCGCCTATGCATTAATCTGAAGAACAAGTTACAACCATGGTTTTACAATGTCGGATGTTCAGATTGCCTAGCTTCAGAAGCATAGGACAGTGATCAACCGAGTGGGACCTACTTTTACAAACCATTGTAGGACTAGTATTTGATTCAGAGAAGTATGATCTAGCCGCATTGTTGTGAGCCCTACTATTAAGCTCCCTGGGAATGTGTCTAACGTTTATCTGAGCCTTGCTAGTAGAGCTAAAGAAATTTGCCAGTTGGCTTCTAATCTCCCAATGACCAGGGCATTTAAGGATATCTCTTGCTTCTGCAGCCTGGGCCAAAACTTGATTATCCGTGAAGAAGATGGTGTCTCCTGTTGTGATTGTATTAATCACTTGGGCAGCTACTTGAAGTGCCGTAGCTTCTGCTTGGAGAGGCGATGCGATTTGTTCCTCGGATAAACAAATACTGATATTGACCTCTTGATGTTTTGCAGCCATCTGTATGAAAATTCCTATGCCTGTGGTGTTTTGTGTATCAGGTTTCCATGTTGCATCCGTAAAGACTTTGCAATTTCTAGCCTGGCTCATATCCAGAAGATTTGACTGCAGTGTCAACAGAATTTCGGGATGTGTTTGAAACTCCAACTGGCCTGCCCCCACCAGTGTTGGTGTCGACGGAAAACAGACAAGTGGCCCTGGGTCTCACTGTGCAGAGTCAAAGGGTGTAAGCATGGTGGTGTGCCTGACTATGGGTCCAGCTAGTAGCGTGTACTGGTGATGTGGTTATATTATAGCTACAGACTGTAGAGAGGGAATAATGTTGAATGAATAGTAACTGAACCTCATCTCTTCCGTGTTCTTCTTCTTCTTCTCTGGTTTTCCCCTTTTTCTCATCATGTTCTTTCCGATCCCCTCTCAGACCCTACTCGTTGATTCGTGAGACTAGCCAGGGCCTCACAATTGGTATCAGCAGCCTCGAATCAGCGTTCGCTGCGCTCACATCCTCTTGATTCGGCGGTAAAATTCCACCACGAAGGGTGCAGATTTTGTTTCTGCAAAATTCGCGCAAAATCCCAAGTGGGGTTCGACGAATTCGGAGCGAGTCACGATGACGCCGTCGAAGCAGCCGCTGCTGTCGGCGCAGACCAATTTGGTGCTCACAGCCATGGGGGAAAACATTGAGACCATCCAGGCGGTGCTTACCTCTATGCTCACCAAGCTTGAGGCGATGGATCTTCGAATCTCGAATTTGGGGAAACAGGTGGAAGATACGCAGGAGCACGTCGATGCCATCCGCCATCGGCAAGCAGAGATCGGCGTGGTACCTGCGGGATCGGGCGTCATCGAGCAAGGTGCAACACCCACTTCTTGCCCTGCCCCTTGGCTCGCTAACCTTCAGCCGCCCTTGCTCGGGAACCTGGGCAACGGTCGGGTGTTTGTCACAGCACCACCTTCCCCTATGGAGCAGTCGCCACCTCAGGCACCAGCGTCGGCACCTCGTCAGGATCATCGCTCAGTCCGTGAGCACGCCCCTGAGCAACATCGGGAGTTTGCACCGGAACGAGATCGAGCTCATTTCGTCAAGCCACCCAAGCACCATTTTCCTCGTTTCAATGGTGAGAATCCTAGGCTGTGGATCGATTTGGCCCGCACTTACTTTGATATGTATCAAGTGCATGTGCATCAGTGGGTGTCAACTGCTACACTGTATCTCGATGGACATGCGGCGCTGTGGTGGCAACCGTTCAAACGTCATCGTCGTCTGTGGCCGTGGGACGATTTTGCTTTGGAAATTGAATCGAGATTTGGGAAAGGAGAGTTTGAAACACATATGACACATCTCTTACAGCTAAAACAAACCAATACAGTGACACAGTATAAGGCTGCGTTTGAGACTGCTATGTATCATCTGATAGCTTTGGATCCTTCTTTGAACTCCAGGTTTTTCATATCTCAGTTTGTTCTAGGACTGAAGGATGAGATCAGGGCTGTTGTTCGATTACAAGCACCTACAAGTGTCACTCGAGCAGTGTGTTTGGCCAAGATTCAGGAGGAGGAAATAGAATTGCAGCGACCACAGTTCCGATTTCCTTGTCAGATTCAACAACAACCAACCCAATCTGCCATTGCTTCAGTTCCACTAGTTCCCATAAAGAACACGAACGACTTTGGTCGTGAGCGACAATTACGGGATTTCCGATGAGCCAATGGTTTGTGTTTTCGTTGTGGTGATAAGTACAGCAAGGAGCATCAGTGCAAGAAACCGATGCAATTACTGACAATACAGTTGGGTGAATTCGATGAGGTTTTAACCGAAGATGCAGTACAGGCTTTGGAGTTACTAACTGAACCTGCAAACCTGCAGTGATGTCAGATTTCAGCCCACGTTGTTTCAGGAGCCGACAATACAGAAACCATTCACAGAAGAGCATTGGTGGGAAAACAAGTCATGTTAGCACTCGTGGACTCAGGCAGTAGTCACAGTTTCGTGGATGAAAATTTTGCCAAGTGCGCTTCGTTGGATTTGGTCGTTGTGCCAGCAGTGAAAGTCACAGTTGCAAATGGTCAAGCTATGAATCCAAGTTTCAAACCCCTAATCTGACTTGGTGGGCACAAGGTCACACTTTTGTTATACCAACGGGAGTGCTACAACTGGGGGCCTATGATGTAGTGCTGGGAATGGACTGGCTTAAGTGTCACAGTCTGATTACTTGTGATTGGGAGGGAAAATCCTTACAGTTTGCACATGGTGATACTATTATTTCTCTTCAAGGTGTTCAGCCTGTTTCTACTCTGCAATTGCAAGCCATATCAGTAGAGCAATTGGACAAAGCTCCATGGCAATGATATTTGGGCTATGGCTGTGGTTGATCCTTCTTCAGGTGATGTTGTTTCTACGCTTGGCTCATATCCAGAAGATTTGACTGCAATGTTAACAAAATTCCGGGATGTGTTTGAAACTCCAACTGGCCTACCTCCACATCGAGTGTATGATCATGCGATCACCTTGTAAGTGGGTCATAACCCTCCTAACTCTCGCCCTTACCGATATTCACCACAACAGAAGGATGGGATTGAACAACAGGTGGCAGAGATGATCAAGGCAGGAATTGTGAAACCTAGTATGAGCCCGTATGCATCGCCAATACTTCTAGTTAAGAAAAAAGATGGCAGCTATCTTTTCTGTGTGGAGTACTGCAAACTCAACGCCATCGCTGTGAAGAACAAATTTCCTCTTCCTATGGTCGACGAATTACTCGATGAATTGGCAGGATCAAAAAATTTCTCCAAGCTTGATCTTAGGGCAGGTTATCATCAAATCCGTATGCATGAACCAGATGAGGAGAAGACTGCATTCAAGACACATTCAGGACACTTCCAATTTCGTGTTATGCTGTTTGGGGTGACCAATGGACCACCAACATTTCAGTGCTTAATGAACAACATTTTTTCTCCATCTAATCGCAAGTATGTCATCATGTTTCTGGACGACATTCTAGTGTTCAGTACCACTTGGGAGGAACATTTGGAGCATCTCCGCTCGGTACTATAGACCTTGCGTGAGCATTAGTTGTTCGTGAAGCTTTCCAAATGCTCTTTTGCTCAGACTGAAATTCGATATTTGGGTCATGTAATTTCTTTCGAAGAAGTGGCTACAGATTCATAGAAGACTATGGCGATGGAACAATGGCCTCAACCTACCAATGCTACTGAATTGCGTGGGTTCCTTGGGTTGACCGGGTACTACCGCAAGTTTGTCCAAAATTATGGTACTCTGGCCAAGCCCTTGACTCAATTGCTGACCAAGAAGGGTTTTGCTTGGACAGAGCAAGCCACTGTATCTTTTCAGAAATTGAAAACAACTATGACTAGTACTCCTGTATTAGCTCTACCGGATTTCAGTCAATCTTTTGCCGTTGAAACGGATGCTTCTTCTACAGGAATTGGAGCCATACTTTCATAGAATAACCATCCTATTGCTTATCG